TGTTTTGCTAGGTTGTTAATTTGTGATCTTTCCATTTTCCTGATGTGTGTTCATAGAGATATAAATTCCCCTCTTTGAACTGTTTTCATGGCATTCCAGAAGTTTTGGTAAGATGTTTCTTTGTTTTCATTTGTTTCTGGGAATCTTTTAATTTCTGTTTTGATTTCTATGTTGACCCAGTAGTCATTCAGCATCATGCTGCTTAGTGTCCATGTCTCTGTGTGTTATGTTGGTATTGATATTTATTTTTATTTCTCTGTGGTTTGAGAAGGTGCATGGCAGTATTTCAATCTTATGAAATTTGTTTATGCTTGATTTATGGTCAAGGATGTGATTGATCTTGGAGTACAGTCCATGCAGTTATGAATAGAATGTATATTCTGTGGTTGTTGGGTGGAGTATTCTGTAGGTATCTGTTAATTCCATTTGTTCAAGAGTCAAGTTGAGGTTCTGGAATGCTTTGTTGATTTTTTTTGCCTCAATGATTTATCTAGGGTTGTTAGTGGGGTATATAGTAGGGTATAGTATAGTGGGGTGTTTAGACTTAAATACCTCACTATACTATAATTAGTATTATAGCTAATACTCTAACTGTAATAGTGTTAGAGTCAATATCCTTTTTTGTTTATTTAGTAGTTGCTTTATAAATGCTGGTGCTGCCGTTTGAGGTGCATATATGTTTAGAATGTATATTTCTTGTTGATGGATTGAACCTTTTATCATATGCAGTGTCCTTCCCTATCTTTTAAAATTTTTGATAGCTTAAAGATTGTTTTGTCTGATATTAAGAATGCAACTTCTGCCTTCTTTTGTGATCCATTTGCCTAGAAACTCATTTTCCATCCTTTACATTTCAATCTGTGTGCATCACTTGTGGTGAGATGAGTTGCCTGGATGCAACAAATTATTAGGTCATGGTTTTTTATCCAGTTTGCCTTTCTGTGTCTTTTCAGTGGGACATTTAGTCCATTAATGTTCAGGCTGATTGCTGGAATGTGATTGTTTATCACCATAATGAGGTTCTTATAAAGTTTTTTGGTCATTTGTTTTCTTTTATCTTTTGGGTTGATGTATGTGTGTGTTTTTAAGCATGTAAACATGATGTATTCTCTGTTGATTCTGTGTTCTGCTGTTCCCTTGGGAAGTGCATGGTGATTCATTTTTGTCTTTCTCTGTGCTTAATACCTTTTTTTTAGTCAGAATTTCACTCTGTCACCCAGGCTGGAGTGCAGTGGTATGCTCACAGCCACCCCAGCATCGATATACTGGACTCAGGATATCCTTCCACCTCAACCTTCCAAGTACCCGGAACTACAGGTACACACCACCATGCCTGCTAATTTATTGATATATTGTAGAGAAGATGTCCCTCATGTTAATTTCTCCCTGTAAAGGTCTGCACTCTGCTCCTGAAACAGAGTGAGCTCTCTGTGGCAGAGAAGGGAGTAGGTTCTGCCTTACAGAGATTCAGGGCTTGAAGGTAGCTCCTCCCAGTCTGGCTGAGACTGATCTGCTGGGTTCACTCCAGATGTGGGCCTTTCCCACCTATGAATAAGCACTTATGGAGACTGACATAGCATGGGTCCTTTTTTCCCCATTCTGCCTGAACTGCAGTTGTCCACCACTGTGAGTTGCCCAGGACTCCACCTGGGTGGATTGGATTACTCATGCATGACTCGGAGGGGGTGAACTGTCCCAAAGAAACTTAGGTACACTCACCCACTTTTGATCACTGGGCAGAGCTTCAGTTCTTGTGTGAGCCTGGTACACAGGGGGGGATGGGGCTCCTGGAGTCCCACTTCTACCATTGTTTTCTGGTGTCTATGTGTTCAAAGAGAACTTTGCTGGATGCAGGGTATCTCATCTGTCCAAAAGTGTTCAAGGTGTCTCCTTCTATCATCAGCTGGGTCTCTACTCTCTGCATTGTTTGGGGAGAAAGCCTCTGGTCTGCTGCTCTAGGTGGCTATCTTGGCAGCTTTCAGGATGTTCTTATTTTAATGAAGTTTCTTTTAATTCTGAATTTTCTAGAATTACTTCTTTTTTGTGAATAAATATTCAACTTTATTATATTACTTTGCTACTATTGAGATACATCACAAGAGTATTTTTTTAATCCTTTGGTGCATCTTACATTATTTATTTCCTATTATCAAACCAACTTGCATTGCTAGGAAATAGTAAACATAGTCATGATATCTTATCTTTTATATACATTGGTCAATTGATTTGCCTTTATTTTCTTAAGAAATTTTGCATTTATATTCACTACTGAGATCACTCTTTACTTTTCCTTTTTTATACAACTCCTGTCAGATTTTGAAATCAAGTTAATAATACTCTCATGAAATGAACTGGAGAGTACTCTTTTTTCCCTACTTAGAATAATTTGTATCTTCAATTTTTGTTTGAGCTATTGTAAAAATCATCTTGTTCTGGAAGTTTTAAACTTCTGAACCTATTTATTTACTGGTTATAGAACTATTCAGGTTTTCTATTTCTTCTGGAATCAACTTTAATACATTATTTTTTTTTTAAATTCAGTTTAATGGAACCAACCATGTTGTCCATGGAAGCTGGACTGGATAAAAAATGTGGTACATATACACAATGGAATATTATGCAGCCATAAGGAAGGACAAACATATGAACTTTGCAGCAACTTGGATAGATTTAGAGTCGATAATCAGTGATCTATCACAGAAACAAAGAGAGTACCATATGTTCTCACTCATAAACGAATCTTGAACAATTATACTATAAGAAAGCGATTGGCAGTAGTGGGAAACTGTCGGGGGGGGTGTGGGATTGGCAGTTGAGGGAAATTTCTAGGGGAGGGAGGGGCATACCTCATCAACAAGGGTACCTGCATAATCAACATTTGTATACCTAACTCTGAATTGTACCCCAAATATTTATAATAAAAAATATAAAAATGGAAAAAATAATTCAGTTTATCTAGGTTTCAACTTTACTGCTATAAAGTTATTCATACTATTATTTTATTAGCATCTTAATATATGTGACATCTGTAACTTAGTCTTTCTCATTTTTAACACCTAGCTTTGCTTACTTTGTGATTTGTCTTCTTATTTGGGACCAATTTCATCTAAAGATTGTCAATTTTATGCCTTCCCCCCCAAATTTTTACCTTGTTGAGTCTTAGTACTGTACAGTTATTTTGCAGTATTATCAATATCATATCTTTCCTCCTACATATTTGAATGTATTATTCTTTTCTTTCATTTTTAAAATTAAAAACCTCACTAGATGATTAGCCTTTCATCTTTTACAAAATAAATACTTAAGGCTATGCAGAAGATTTTATATGCAGTGCTTTCATTATTGCACAGTTCTAAATGTGTTCTATTTTTTCATAAATTTTTGTTTAGCTCTTGTATTGCTTAGAATTATCTAATTTCAAAACAAATAGAGCTATTTTATTCAAAGGAAAATATTTATTTTATACTAATTGAAATTAGATCAGAAAACCATGTTCCTTATGATACCAATCATGTAGAATTTTTTGAGATTTGATTTATTCCTCAGCAAGTGACCAATATTTATGAACATTCCATACACATTAAAAGGAATATGTATTCTGCAGTGCTCCATATATGTTCATTAAGATAAGCTTGCTAAGTGTTTTAAATTTTTTTATATCTTTACTTCATCTATAAGTTATTTAAAGGTTTGAGTTAAAATTTTCAAGTAGGATAGTGAAATTGTTTAATTCTCTTGCAATTCTTACAATTTCTGCTTATGTATTTTGACACATAATCTAGAATTGTTCTATCTTCTCAGTGAATCTAATTTTTTAATCTAAAAATAGTGACTAGACAGTTCTAAGAAACATGGTATTTACCAGTTCCCAACAGTCAGGTACTAGACATTGTACACAATTTGTGAGTCACAGTTTGTTTATCTTCCATTCATAGTAGGGCAGTATTAAGACTATGACCTTTAATGGGTCTTTGACAGGTTCCCACCTTTCCTGGATTCAGAATATTCTGGAAGTTCTACTAATCTCGTAGTACACATCATGTGAACAGCAATGAAATGACATCAGCATGAATAAAGTTATAACTCCCTTCCAGTAATAATGGGTAATTATTGGTGTTTTTCCAAATGGTGGGAATAAATGTCTTTAATTTTATTTGTTAGGATTATTTAAGGATATATCACCTGAAGACATTGGGGATTTTCTAAAAAAGATGTATGGGAGCAACTTTTAAAAATTAACTGTAGTTTGAGATTGTAATAAAAAAACATTTGGAGTTTTTATTTTCGCTAAGATCTTTCTCCTCCAGTGGAGACCCCTGTGCTGTGTGGGTACCATGTGACTTCGCTTTCCTGACCATCAATGAATACAGGTTGTGAGCCAAACAGGATCAAGGAAATTTGGAATCGGGATTCAACATGAGATCCTGCCTCTTGAACAGGAAAGTCATGTAAACATGGGAGATGAAGCTAAAAAATTGGTTCAGCCATTCCCTGCCATGAGTACAGAAAACCATTTACAGGATGGAAAGAAGAAAAAAGTAAAATCTAGAAAGAAAGAAAAGATAATGCATGGCTTCAGGGAGAGGAAGAAGCAGACCTGGGTTTTTGTGTCAACAGAGCTCCTGGTTTGTCTTTTATATCCTACTGCTTTTCTTGCCCTTAGATTGCTTTAAATACTTCTACATCTTTGCAATACCTCTCTTCCCTCCATTTTTGGTTTATGCTACCCTGAGAAAATTTCTGTCTTTGCTGATCTGAAATATTTCTGTGCACATCAACTATACAGCAGCCTTCAGAGCAGTTGAATGGTCTAGGAATCTTTCCCAGGGCTGCAGTTAATAGTATCTGAAGCATCTGGAGGGGTTCTTTATAGGAGGCAGGTTTTGAAAACAGACTAACAGTTGGGTCTAATGCACTTCAACAACTTGCAACCACCACATGCACTTTTGATGCTGTTTGTTCAAAATAGAAATCCTGAGAAATGTTAGTACCAACCGACCTCAGTGCTAAATAGATTTATTGAAACTTACAGAAGCCAAACATAATTAGCAGAAAAAATTTAGGATAAAATGATAAAACCATTAGAATACTTTTTTTGCATTCTGATTACTAAATTCATAGTGACTTAAGATTTTTTTAGTTCTCCACTGTTCTTCCACAGAAGGAAATGTTCACAACCCACAATATGTTAGTAATGAAGCACTTTTCTGAGGAAAAAAACAGGTTTGCCCCTGATAAAAAGAAAAGAAGAAGTTAATATCAATGTTTATTAAAGGATTCATTTTTTGCGAGGTGTGTGTCACAAAGTTTCCAAACTAGTGTGTACTGATTTCAAGATCTATCTATTGATTGATCTAGATGAAATCAATCAATATAGAGATCTGGAAATTTGATGTTAAGTTAAGTTCTTAGGTGGACACTATCTTTGTGTAAGCTATTCTTTGAATGCCCAGAAATTGACTGTTTGAGCTATAAAAAGTTAATAGATTCCATTGGCATTCTTCTTTCATTTGACCATTTATGAATTCTTTTGAATGTGCCTTGAGTTTACTCTAAATTCACCTTTGAAAGACAGTGTTCCATAATGTTTCAGGACACAAAATGTAGAATCAAAAGGCTTGTGATTGACCCATGCAAAGGTTTTGTGACTCTATGCCTCAGTTTCCTCATCCATAAAGTGAGAATAGATAGAACCCATAAGATTGCTGTGAGTAGCAAATGAGTTAACATATTTAAAGCATGTAGAATGGTGACTGCTGATCCCTGCCTTGTGTTAACATGACTAGTGTTCAGAGCCCACTCAAGACTGTTAAATAAATAAATAAAGCACATAGAACAGTGCCTGGCACAGAACAAACTCTGAGCAAGTGTTAGTCTTGATGACTATCCCCTATGTGACTGGTGCCCTCTGTGGACATGAGTCTAGCAATTCCACCAGCACTGATTAGGAGTGAACAGTAGGGAGGCTACTCACCTTGAATCTCCTCAGCCATGTATGTTGGAATTCCGTGGCACATGCTAGCAATGTTTTTTCCAAATTTGTTCAGATCATCGACTTTGTTAGGGTTGACTGTGAACATCAGGCCCTTAGGAGGTGGTCCCTCTGGTCCCTTACCCTGAAGCTGAGTGTGGAGAAGAGAGGTAGAAAGAGAAAATAAGAAAGAATGAATGCCAAGCCCAGTGATCTGTTGATTTGAGGAGATATGAGGCCAACAGGAGATACTGCTCCACTACATTTTTTCATAATCAGCTTAAAGAAGAGCCTAGTACTTCACTCTACTCCTGTGAATCTCAGAATTTCTAAGTGCCCTAAGAGAATTAACTAATTTGATACCTCAGCTTCTCATAAAAACAGAAATCTGAGATTAAATTTATTCTTAAACTGAACCTCATTTGGTCATCATAGATTCCTTGGGTTGGGCTATGTGATAATTATCTTCTGAGAATGCTGTTTATTTTACTCCTCTACTTTCTCAGTGAAAGGTATTCATTTATGAATTATGGGAATATGAACGCAGGCAAATATATGAACTATGAATCCTCTCTTCCCACTCACCAAATATAGGACACCAAATACATTTGAATTTCAGATACACGGCAAAACATTTTAAAAGTGTAAGTATATCCCAAATATTGCATAGGATATACTTATACTAAAAATATTAGCCATTTCTTATCTGAAATTCAAACTTAACTGGGTATCCTCTATTTTCATTTGCTAAAGCTGATAACCCTCACTAACCCTTGCAAAAAATGTCTTTGGAGACGTGCTGAGGGCTTCCATTGGTGTGACCAGATCTCTGCTCCTCTAACAGTCAAGAATATCAGATGATCTTCTCAGCCCTGTAGGTGTAGGTGCGAGCCACAGCATTTGATGTGACAGAAGCTTCCTCCTCTTAGGCAATTACGAATTACTCTTTCCCCTTTGTGCTGCACACTGCAGCACACTGTGGTCAAGAGGAAATGATTGTGATCTCATTAACTTACTGGAGGTCATAAAACCTCTACCCTCACAAAAATAAAAGGACTTTTATTTTTACCTTCTTCTCCTTGACCATGGCATCAAGGGCTTGAATGGAAGGCATGACTTCCTTGTTCATTTTGTGCACAATGCATGACTTTTTGCGAAAGAGTCTGGTTGCAGCGTAGCCCTGTTAAAGCAGATGGTAGATAATGAGGCGTGTTCTCCAAGGAGCTTTTCTTATCATTTAGTCTGTTCCTCTAGTCGGGGGGAATGCAACTCCAAGATCATGATGGGCTGGAATGAGACCACTGAATCTGGCCCTGCTTGGCAATCATATCTAATGCTGTCATTTGTGAGGATAAACTGCAAGTTCTGGAAGGGTAGAGAGTGAACATCTAAGTAGTTTGCTTTGTCTTCATGGTCTAGCATGATAAGAACCATTCTACATGTCTGTTTTAGTGAAATAAACTTTAAAAAGCTATCACATTTTAGTCTCCTTGATCCTCACAACATTTCAAGGAGGCAACTAAGACAAGAATTAGTTTTCCAATTGATAAGATACAAATGAAACAATGAAGAGTTTGTGGTTTAAATGTATGAAGTTTGGGCAACCTCATCCAGGTCCCCTCCTGCTGTGGAAGCTTTTCTGTGTTATTACTAAATCATCCTTTTTAAAAAGTATGAAAAATTTAAAATACAGAGCTGGTAATTGCAATCTGGTCTCCTAACTAGTGTCAAGCGTTTCCTTTTTTTCTCCCTTACCAATTGACACAGTCATTTACATTTTCTTTGGTCCTTTCAAGTTACAGGTGACCAATTTCTCTCTCAGAGGGAAACCAAAGACAGAGATGGACTATGCTCTAGAGCTTTAGAAGTAGTCATGTTGTATAGGTCTTTTATCATACTTGAGGGCATCTGCAGGCAAGGCAAAAGGATGTTCATATTTGTCTTATACCCCACAACCCCTTGAACAGAGTGGGTCATAATAACTTTTTATTGGTTTGAATTTTGACTGATCCTACAGCACTTCTCAATTGTAGTTTTACCTAGGGAGTGAAACTGGTTGGGCGAAAGAGCATTTTTGCTTATAACTGTATGCTTGTGTGTAGCTAGAAGTAATTTTTAAAGGTTTTTATGGTTAGTATGCACAATTTTTGGTTACAAAATTGCATCATATTTTAAAGAATGTAATAGAAATTGCATGTTGACTACCTACATTTTCATAATCCCAGAGGGTATTCCAGGAGTTCCATCCATTGTTATTGTCAACATTGGCCACGTTATGTTCATTGTTGACACTCACTGACTGTTGCCCGCTTCCAGCACGGTTGCCATCATCACTGATGTTGATATTCTGAAATTTGAAGGAATTGAGAGTGGTTTAATACTACATTTATTTGCAAATGCATTTTGATAACACACTTTACAGAGTGGCACTTACATAGTCAGCAAGGACAGGAGCTAGGAAGACTCCAAGAAGTCCAGCAAAGACAATCTGAAATCACAAATAGCATTGGCCCATGGTTAGATGGCAAACTAATGTCCTCTTTTTCTTTATTCAAGTTCATAAAAAGTAGTCATTTTACCAATGTGTTGAGTATTTACTCATTTTAGCAATGTGTTTTCTTCATTTACTCTATATATTTTTTAACCATAGAAAGTTTTAATGATAATGTCGAGTTGTTGATTAACTATAAGTATATTAATATGATATAGTTTTAGAATTGTTAATATATACCTTAGGAAAAACAGATGAAGAATAAATTTTAAAATGAATAGCATAGTATGAATGAATAACATAGTATGAAAAGAGTTATGCTACAAGTTCTAAAAATCACATCTGAAAATGATGTTAATTTTTCTATTTGATCTAGGATGCTTTCTTTCTAATGGAAGTACTCTTTTCATTTAAAAATTTTTTTAATCAGTGAATTAGTAAGTAGTTTGGATGTTGATAACGAGAGACTAAGGATGAGGTATCTGTCTGTGAATTGTGGTCAGCAAAAGGGAAGCCAATAACAGTGTCCCAGGATACTATACTTGGTTTAGTTTTTTGCCACAGAACACAGAGATTTGTGCAGGGCTCCCCATTCTGGAAACATATTCTCATTTTGTTTGTATAGGGAAAAAAGAGTTCAAGAACTACTCTGAAGATTCAAGGCAATTGTTATAAATTGCTTAATTTTTTGCCATGATAGCTTAATATGGAGTTAAAAATTGATCTCTTAAAAAGTCAGAGGTGGAAGAAATTTTAGAGAACATCTCGTACAATGCAACCATTTTACAGATGAGGAAACTGAGTTTCAGAGGTTAAATGACTTGGCCAAGATTTTACCTCTTGTTCATTCTTGTCCTCTCCTAGTTCAGAACTAGGAGAGAAATCCGATCGTCTAACCTGTGTCTGAAGCTCCTTCCCCCTCTCATTTTTACCTTGTTGCTATCAAGAGGACTTTTCTAGATAATTATTTTAGGATTGCAATCCAGTATAAAGCAGTCTACTGTAATATATTCCAGTATGTATAGTATATCAAAAATATTCACCTGATTCAAGCCCCTTTGCCTCCTGTTACAAGAATCCCTTTGACAGAACTTCAAGGTTCACTTCCTACACTCTCAGGCTTAAGTCTGGAACCACAGGTGAGATGAAGCACCAGCTTCATGCCTCAGACACTTTCTTAAAGGAAGGGCCATGATAGGGCCCAAGGCGAACCTTTTTACTTGAAAAGTCATTTCACAGTAAAGAATGTGACAATAAGTCTCTCATGCACTTGTTTTGATAATAAATTTTTAATTTTGCCTTAACTGGCTCAGGAATTTTGGCAAAAGGAAAAATTCAAGAATGGAAAAGATCAGGCACTTTCTAGGCCTTAGGGACTGGTTGCCCTGTGGAAAAGTACGTTTGTTAAAGATAACTCATGTTGTTAAAGACAGTCCAGATAGCTGTCTAATCCCAGTGTAATTATCTTTTTCTACAGAGATGCTTTTAAAAGTGCCATGATTCCATAAACAAGAGAAAAATTTTTTTAATGAAATTTTCTTTTATGATATTGCCATAAAGAAGCAGACAGACCTCCTTATCTCATATGGTAGTAAATTCAAAAGGAAAAATCTACTCACTGTGAACTTCATCTTGTCTTCACGAAAGAAGTGGAGCAGAGGAGAAGGAAAGCATGAAGTTGAACAAGAAGCCTTCTTGTATTTGTACTTAACTGACTTGAGTCAGACAAACTGGGTGTGATGAGGTGGGGTCAAGGACTTATCTTTGTCCATGTCCCATATCTGTTTCATGGCCCAGTGTACCAGGAAGCCTTTCAAAATATCTGCCTGGTTAGCAAGGCACTTTGGCATGGAGTTGATCTGACTCATCACCTGTGTAAGCTGAGGGTATTACAACAAACTCAATATGATGTATGATAATTTCTCATTCAGTTGAAGTTGTAGGTGTGGGTATTTCACACATTGACATTACTCAGATTCAGAAAAAGGATAATCCCTAAAACTAAATAAAACTACAGATGAAAAACTGCATGAATACTAGCCCTTCTAGATAGCAGCTCCTGTAGGAATACGGGAAAGGGTTCCTCTTCTTCACCTGAACCCATTGCAGTGGTTTTATTTGGCTAAACATGTTCTCTGAGCTACTCCCACCAACCCTAAGGTTGTCTTTCTGAAGCAAGTACATGTGACCCTCCCATGCTTGGAAAATGTCACTGGCAGTCTACAAGATAAGGTTCAAACTCATTGGAATAACATCCAGGATTCTTTATAATAAGCTTTCTAAAGCCTCCGCAGATGTATCTGCCACTTTTAGGTCATGCACTACCTATATTCTAGCTGCACCAGAGTTTTCATCATTTAAAATATTCAAGATGGTTCATGTCTTCGTGTCTTTGTACATGCTGTCCTTTCATCTTGGAGTGCCACTCTCTTGACTTTTACTTGGTAAACTGCTATTCACTTTTCAAGGCTCAGCTCAAATATAGCTCCTTCCATCACTTCTCCCTCATTTGCTAGATGAAACTTCCCTCATTTTTTCCTAGAGCCGTAAAATAAATTGCCACTTTAACATTTGCTCCTAGATAATTTAATTTTCGAAAGTTACATTAAAATACTTTTAAAAATGTTCTCACCAAAAGCAGAGAACAGAAACTGTCCCTTGGGCAAACAAGTAAATGCTCAACACAGTCTTGGAGGGGGATTAAAGTTTTATTTTTATTTTTTTGCTGCTTCTTCCTACAAACTGAAGGTGGTAAATCAAATTTGCTGAAAAGAAAAATTGTATTTCATTAAACAATGATCTACAAATTTTTCTTTTGGAAAACTTGTGCCCACACTTGTCTTCCTGTGCATAAATTGGAACTGTACAGTGGGGTTACATTGCTATACAGTCTGATTATCTATCAAAGTCTCTTCCAAAATGTTGGTATGACTGGATCAAAACAACTGTAGTAAGATAATACTTTTACTATGTCCACTAGTTTATTTCAAACTCATTCTTATATCTGCAAAAGGTCAATAAACCTGGGGTAGGGGGAAGACAGACGTGAAGAGCTCCTCATTTGCTTTAGGAACCTTCATGCCACTGAGAAGTCAAAGAGTGGACAACATAGGCCCCACCCTGGTACCCCAGTGCAGAGTCCATCACACCTTCTGCATGCCACACAAAGGACTTGAGGTTCTACAGTGGACCTGTGGAATGCTGGTCTAGAAGATGTTCCATGTTAGATAGATGATAGTGATAGATAGATAGATAGATAGATAGATAGATAGATAGATAGATAGACAGACAGTTCAGGGTCCAATAATCCCACAGTAAGAGACTGACAATTCACATTCATATATCAAATGGGCTGAGAAATCTGTAGGGGAGAAATCTGTGCCATATTGTTTCATCTAGATTCTTCTAAACTTAATTGACTACAGAACTTGATTTTTTTCCTTTTGCTCTCATTCATTTTTCTTAACATATAATGACATCCCTGTTGTTTCCTTAGGGAAATTACAACTGTGCTACCTCTGAAGATGCATCCTAGATTTGAAAATCCATTTGGGGAGCTACTGGTTGGAACTAGAAACCAGGAGACCCAGATTCTATTTTTCTTCCCTCTGTCAGTGACTAATTTTTTCCCCTTTTTAGAAAAAAATTCCTCATTTATACTATATTGCTGCTTAGATGGTTCCAAAATCACTTTGTGTGGTATGTGTGTGTGGAGTGGGAGAGGGTTAGGAGATCTGGGACCAGGGGTCAACCCTCACCTCAATCCTGGTCTCATCAAAGGCCAAAGGTCCTAATTTGCCCTGAGAGCTGTTTTATGTTTCATTCCTCTTATGAGAGAAAGGCAGAACATGTCAATGTTTTGTGTCCCCTCCGTAGAACCTAAAATATGTTGCGCAATAGGCCCCTTAAACATTTTGAATTGCATAAAGATGTTCAGCTAGAGGATAAAATGTGCATTTATCTATTCATTTTTGACTTTTGATGCCAGCCTGAAAGGTGTTGCCCTACATTGACTCTGGTGACATATCTAGAGAGTCCCAGTTGTTGGTGTGACCTCTGTGCCTTGGGGTTAGGGTAGGGCAAACCAATCCATGGGTAAATAGGACTTGCCCTGCCCACAGAGGTTGATGCTGGGCCGTGCCAAGAAACAAGCCCCTATCGTGATTTTACCTCACAATGTGCACACACCCAAGGTTTCGTTCTGTTCCACTCCCTGTAGTGCCAAGCTCAGAGGAAACTCCCTTTGTGTAGAACAGATGGGATGCATCTCACATAAATATGCTTGTGTCATGGATATGGAGGGATAAAGCTTTTCCAACAAAATTGGACTTTCCACATTCCTTCTTTTTCTCTGAGTAGAAGGGAATGTTTACCTACAGGGCATGTTTTTATCATTATATTTTCTTACTCTAGACTTCCTTTCCTGTGTAGCCCTGCTGAAGGGCTGACGTAGCAGTCATTAACACCTATGAAGCCCTTGGGTTCCCTTTTAATACCTGCCCCATTTTTCTGTTATTTAGGACTCAGCTGTCTTTTAGCTCACTTCCCCTCAAGCTATAATTTATTTGTTTGAGTGTGGAAGTCCCTTCATGCAGACTCTGTCTCCTTTCCTTTACTGTTGCTTTCTGAGCAACCTGTGCTCCAGTTTGATGGTCCCTGTGATGGTTCCAAGTTGGGGTTTATTGTGAGGTCTGAATACACTTCACTTGGGGGAAATGTCCTTCCCCTTCCTGGTCTCAGTTTTCCAGACTGTAGCTAAGACTCTTGCTGTGGCTTCTGTTACTACAGCCTTAATGCTTGCAACAGTGATACACTCATATCAAATCCTTCATGTTACTTGAGGCCAAGAATGACACATCTAAAAAAATAGCAATAGAGACATGTAAAAAAATAACATCTTAATTGTTATTGCTAGAAAGTGTCAAATTCCAGAAAATCCAAACTTACTATGTAGTTAATTTTATATAAGAGAGAAATTCTTTTCAAATTACAGCACAGTGGAGGGAGTGCTTTCCTAATGCATAACCGAGCTCTTTATTTTTGTTGTTTCTTCTGGGCACATTGCCTTCCAAAATACATAGAACTCAGCCTTTCTGTTGCTGCTTGTATATATCTGTCCAATTGCATTTGCCAGACCTTCTGGATCTCCTCAGAGACAAGCAGTGATGTATTATGCCTCAGATTAATTGTACCTTGAGTTTGTAAACAGGATTTGGAAAATCTTGCTAAAAGATCTCCTGAGTAATTTCATCCTGTGTATAAAACATATGAAAGTAGTGATAAAGAGAATGATGATCAATGACTTCCTATTTTATCATCGTGAACCAAAATCAGGCCTGGTTAAGTATTTCTGCTCTGAAAAGTACTTGGAAAAAATATGCCCATACGAGGAACAGAAATCACAAAGTTATAGTAACATGTTGCTTTTTAATTACCACATGGCTAATTCAGAAATAATAAATAATAACACTTTACCATGTTCAGTGTTCATATTGAAGCAGTTTAGAGATAACAGCATAAAAGTACATGCTCTTATGGTGTGTTCATTCACTCACAGCAGCCAGGTCTGGGAAGGATTGAACTGTTCAATAAAAGATGAGCATCAGGTCCCAAATGGTTCGAACTGAGGTGCTAGAGCTGGCAGAGCCACACCTGGAGCCAGGGCCTTGTGAGAACCCCGTGGGCTCCACATCAGAGTGTCTTCTGTGACTTCTATGCCCAAAGAGGCCAAAATAAAGGACTTGCCTGAAGGCCATCCAACAATGAAGCATTGTGACTGATTAGGGTGACTGATCAGAACTGGTTTCTTTTCCTATATCTCAACTAGGACATATGCACACATGTGTAATATTTTCACTTTTGAAAGAACACATCCTCAGGTGAAGGCATTGAATATTCAGTGGTGCCTCAGGGAATTTTGAGCCTTCTATGTTTATTCAGTTATACTCTCTTCCTACCCACACTCCCAGCCTCCAATTCCTGGAACTGCTTAATAAAGCCTGTCCACTGGGTTTTATTTTGGAGTGTGTTTTTCCTTCAGCGGTCCCACTGGGCTTGAATAAAAGCCTATTCTCCTCATCTAGGCCAGGAAAGTTTTTGCATTTGCTGCTCAGCAATGGGTCACTGGGTCTACAACCCCTATTTATTGTCTCACATTGAAAAAATAATCAATTAATAGAAATTCATCCTGCTCCAGTTAATGCAATGACCCAGTTAAGTACAAGTGCTACAGTAGAATTAAGGTTGTAAAACAACCAGTGCTCACAGTCGGAGATCCTGAAATCTATATGAGACGCAGAGCTGGCACAGGGCCCAAGAACAGAGGGAACCCCACAGTTGGGACTTTAGTGCTTTGCAGTTGCTGTCTTGAAATTCTTAATAATTTTATTTTTGGATTTGTGTTTGGCAAGGTGAGTCCAACAGGACAATGGAGCATGTGCTAGGTGCTTGGAGCTTTGGCTCACACATGGTCCTTCCTCCCCACCTTCCTGGATAGGCTCTCAACTACAACTCCTTTACTTCTCTTGATTGGTGGGGACTGGATATAGGCACAAGAAGGGTCAAGGTCAGATACATGCATGATGAGGTGCAGAAGCCACTGTCTTGGCAAACATCCCTATGCCCAGGGGTGTTTGACATTTACTAGCAAATGAAAAACACCGTCATAGGTTGAGAGAAAGAGAGAATGTATGGATGAAA